CAAATTAACCAGGAAGCTTTCTTCCTTTCATAACACTTTTTTCCCCACAAAAGGGGGATTTTTAGTTTTATTCGTTCCTTTTTAACCGAAGCCAACACGTTGCCGATTAAGTTGTAAAATATTTTTCTCAAAACTTAAATAAAGGAACTATTTAAAATTTTATTCACTAAGTTAAAATCTCTTTATTATGCAAATTATATAAACGATGACGCTTTGATTATCTTTTCTTTATAAAAACCACTATCTCAGCTGACAGACAGATATTACTTAAATAATCAACCAGTAATAAAAATTAAAAAATCGATAAGAAATGGTTCTATAGTAATTAATATTTTTTTACTACCAACGTGATATTGCTGACACTTCATCGTTACCTAGATTTGTGACCCACCTTTGTCATAAATGACAGTCATTCCGCGTGGACAGATCTGAATGAAACCAACGGAGATACAACTCGCCTCAGATAAAAGCTGCATCAGTTTTCTGATTTATATCAGGATTTGGGTTAAATTTATTAAAAGTCGTCATTTCTACAAGGGGGGACACGTTAAATTGACAGTAGGTTATATCAATTTGATCTAAATCTAGATCACTAAGTGCACAATAAATTAATTAAAGATCTAATTCCTTATGCTTGAAAAAAATTTAATGTGATAAATATTTAAAAAAATATTGTCGAACTTTTGTTTCACTGATCAATTTGGTCCGCCCAATTTTATTTTGTGACCCACTTTTGTCATAAATGACGGTCATTTATGACAAAAGTGATCCGTGATGATATACGGATCACTAAGTGCACGATAAATTAACTAGAGATCTAATTCTTTATGCTTGTAAAAATATTTAATATTGTAAATGTTAAAAAAAATATTGTGTCGAACTTTTGTGTCTCTCTTCAATTTGGTCCGCCCAGTTTTATTTTGAGACCCATTTTTGTCATAAATGACAGTCAATTATGACAAAACTGATCCGTGATGATATACGGATCACTAAGTGTACAATAAATTAACTAGAGATCTAATTCTTATGCTTGTAAAAATATTTAATATTGTAAATGTTAAAAAAATATTGTGTCGAACTTTTGTGTCTCTCATCAATTTGGTCCGCCCAATTTTATTTTGAGACCCATTTTTGTCATAAATGACAGTCATTTATGGCAAAACTGATCCGTGATGATATACGGATCACTAAGTGTACAATAAATTAACTAGAGATCTAATTCTTATGCTTGTAAAAATATTTAATGTTATAAATATTTGGTGATTAGTGACCGTTAATCGATAATTATTCAGAAATCATGAGATGCGGTCTGGCGTGATGTAGGTTTCAGAAAAACATTTTCTCTATCGTGCCAACGTTTCGATCTTTATTGAGATCATCTTCAGGGCTCAAAGTCTTTGTCTTCTGTGTAATTGTGCCAGTCTTGCAAGTCGTGGGCACACTCAATACGACATGCAAGAATGGCACAATTACACAGAAGACAAACACTTTGAGCCTGAAGATGATCTCAATAAAGCTCGAAACGTTGGCTCGATAGAGCAAATGTTTTTCTGAGACCTACATCATACCAGACCGCATCTCACGATTTCTGAATAGTTATAAATATTTACAAAAAATATTGTGTCGAACTTTTGTGTCTCTGATCAATTTGGTCCGCCCAATTTTTCGTGTCTTTTATCAGACGCGTTTCATATCGTCATATTCAGAAACGTACTACACGTCAAATAAAAAAAAAACTAGTATAATTTAAAAAATTAATAATGTATGAGAGATTATCCACGCGTTCACCTTCATATTATGCAACCGAGGAACGTACCTGGAAAAGAAAAGGTACAAAATAGAAAGGATCACCAATTTATTTATTAGCGGAAATACAAGGCATGATTGATGGATGTACTGATGAAACATCACTTTTTTCATTTCTTAACTGATAGAAAGGGGGAATGGAAATTGAAATTAATCGCTCAATCACGGGCGTCGTCGGGTTTTTCATTGGGAGGGCAAAACATGTTTTTATTTTATTAATTTTTATTTTCTGATGGAATGTTACGGCCGTAATTAAGTCATAGCGAGGGGGCAAATTCGAGATCATGAGAAAGGATTATAAAACATTCCGACAAAGGGTATCAATTTTCGCCTGAGCCCAGGGAAAATTGAGCCCCCCCCCCCAGGGTTATATGGAGATTTCTCATTACGGAATAATATGATTTAATAATAAGAAAAAAAAACAATCTTTGAACTGCTATAGAATTGAACAATAAACAATAACAAAAAAAAGACAATATACAACTTCCAGATTGTATAAACTAAATTTTTACCCGCGGAATAAACCAATAAAAATATCCATTGCTATGCGGATATATATTATATTTGACATGTCACAAAATGTGATTTGTTCGTTTCCTCAGACGAATTGAAATGTCGAAAGGGAAGCAATTTCCCCCGGTTACAAACCGCATTCCGTCAAGGAAGATGCCATAAGGCTTAAGAGCGTGAAATCGAAAAACCAACGATGCAAGGCGATCTTGTGAGATCGATATTTATTGAAGACGGTACAAATTTTAAACCAAATTATCGTCTTTAACGTCTGATGTCGGTTCGTTGTTTCACTTGCAGAAGAAACTGGAGAAAACTGAGGGAAAACACGTTTAAATAACATACGTTGGGAAAACCTAAAACTTACAAACTAAACTAATTTATTCGGGTAATCTACGCTAAAATGTGTTTTTAATAGATTCTGCAGTCTTTATATTACAATAATAATGTTAAAATAATAATAATTGGCTACAATATGCAGAAAAAAGTCAGCTTTTTCATTGAGATCACCTATAATAAATAATCGCAAAGTTTTACAAAAAAATTATGTTTGGAAAGGATAGAAAAAACATTCCATAATGAAATAAAACAAATTTTTTAAAATATCAAATATTACATTTAACATATTCCAGAAAAAGTACAAAAAACGTATTCTCAGGCCTCTGTAAAAATATTCAAAAATCATGGGTTTGTTGGAAACATAAACGTTCAATTTTTAATCAGATTGAAATACAACATTGAAAACATTATAATTAAAAAATAAAAAACATTATTATTTATTTTGGAAATTTCCGAGTTGGTTTCTGTTTGTCAGGTGAGTTTCGCTCCGTCTTCATTTATCGGCCTCTCCCTGCTTATAACCCTGACCGACCTTTGAAAATAGCCAAAGACTGAAACGCATCCGACAGAACATAACGGTGAATATATTCCTGATGATCGTAAACGATCACAGTATAAGGGCGATTTTAAACAACTTAAATTATCATCCAAGGGCCAATGATTTTTAAATGAGTTTAAATGCCAGTTGAGAGCAAAACATGCGGACCTGGGATGTTTGAATGTCAATAAAATGTAGACATTTTATTTAAATGAACATGTGTTAAACATTTCTGTTCTCTAAGTACTGTAAATGCTTTAAGCTGTAAATAATATATAGTTTGAAAATTTTCCATTATTTGTTCATTTTAAGTATTACCTGTATCGGTATATCAGGCGCGATTTAGCATCTTCAGTTGTGGGCTTGTGCCTCTCCCTTCTTATATCCCTGACCGACTAGTAACGATAGCTAAAGACAGGAACGCGTCTGACAAATCATAACAGCGGCCTATCAGGATGATCGAAATCGACGAAAATACAAGTGCAAATTCTGTCAATTTGAACTTTCATGTATTTTTTGACACATATATTTTGACGCTAAACAGAATTTAAATGCGACCTACCAGCGCGAGACTACGCGGACCTGAGAAGTCTGAATTCCTATTATCTCTACAATTTTACTTACATGAACTTTGGATTAAAATTTAAGTTCTTTGAGTCTTGTACAACATTTAAGCAACAAATAAAATGTAATTTTACTGTTGCACATCATTTCTATGCAATACAATTTTTTTTAATATAATAATTTTTATTACGATTACCTTTAGTTAATTTCTACGTTTCTGGTTAGGTTGGTCTATCCGGCGCGTTTTAGCATCTTCGGTTGTGGGCTTGTGCTTTTCCCTGCTTTTAACCCTGAGCCCTCAGCGCGTCTGACAAACCATATGACGAAAGTATAGGTACATAACTACACAGAACCAAAGAGGAAATCTCACAAATTTTATTATTATTGTATGTTTTGCTATCAATGGGACAAAAAAATCCAGAGCGAACCATAAGTTTTAAATTCAATACTGGCACACTATCCTGTCAAATTTTATGAACTCAATTGTTCGGTATAAAGTTTCGATATATTTTTAATTGATCAAACAACCTGACTGTAATAAAAATTGACGACCCGTGACAGAGTTGACAAATAATGAACAAATTCGACGGTAACAGGAACGACACAAGGCAAAGATAAATTGGTTCGTAACGAGTTGACGAGTCCATTTTTAAAGGGGTTTTCTACGTTATTGTTATTTTATCTGGTTAAAAAATCGTCAGATTTGATAAATATATAGCTTATATAAAAAATATATATCTGATTTAAGAACAATGCAGAAATTTAATACAAATTCAATATTTTTTTCTTAGACGATTGATGATAATTAAAAATTTGTTTATGATGGCAAGGTAAAACGAAATGGTCAATTTTTATATTTGTAAGTTGACATAATGTTTTGTTAAAATAAATTTAGTTTTATTTCACATAATCTCATGATAAAATTTATATAAATGTTGCTGTGTTTTTTGGATGAGTTGTATATTAGCAAATGCTTCTATGTCGAACTGTAAATTTTGATATATAGAACGTGAAAATTTATATTAACTCTTTTCTTCCCATGCAGAAAAAAAAGTTCTGTTTACAAAACCTGTGTGCCTTTGTTTACATTCGTATTTACAAAACCCTAATAGTTTGTAAATACCCAGAAAACGGGGTAGCGGCCGACCCGTGTTAATGGAAACATAAAAGGCTTACAATTTATGGATAATTAAACCGATCGATTTTTCGTTAGGTCATGCAGAGTTCGCAAAGGTCGACTTACTTTTCTGAGATGCGGCCCGGCCGACAGGAGCGACAGGACTGAGTCTGAGTCTTCTACCCGCAGAGTTGACCCAGTTCGAGCGTTAGAATGGTGGGGATGATCAGCTGACTAGGACGCAAAGGATTTCACTAGGTAACAATCAATACCCAGGGGGATCGTACGAAGGATCTTTTCCAGTGCTGAAGAGTCGGAAGTTTTGAGGAAAATCTCGCCTAAATGCTGGAAGTCGCGACCCCCGCGGGAAAAAAGGCGGTCTTCCATTGATCCGGCGATGCCGATCAACGATACAAATCGACTTTTAACAATGCGTGGCCCCGTTCTGAATTTTTCACGCCCTATTTGTTTATTTTACGAGCTTGGGCTGAAATTGTTATTATCTTCTTTTAACAAAGCTATAACTGCCTTCACAATCCTTCGGTTTATTTCCTCAATAAAAACGGGCCGTCGGTAAAAATTGATTCAGAAATGTTGTGAAATACCATCTCCGGGTCAAAGAACTGATGCATACGCTCTGTGAACTGCAGAAATTTTATAGAAAAAACAACAAGAACTTACATATAACTTAGCAGACCTATCAGAAAATGTAAAATAAGGGAAATTTCTTATTAAACCAAACATCCAATCATTTACTATGTCCCTTCCGAGGGGTATCAGTTTCATAATATTAGGGTCATACAGGCAACAATCAAAAATATATATATATATATATATATATATATATATATACATACCATATATACATATGGCATCCCGACAGCTAGGTTGTTATTTCAGCCCCGAGCGGAAGTAAAATACTGCAATACACACTCAATACACAGTCACACTAATAAATACATTTACACATGTATACATTGATCGCACTCATTCTATTTGGTAGATAGAGTACTCGATATTCCTCCACCTATTCACTATAATAAACTATTCTAAATTGGGGTCGATGGGATACTTGTACAAAATTTCCGCCATCATACCAAGACATACACACAACCTGAGGGGCGGTGGAGAACCTACTTCGTCATCAGCCCCTCTCCATTCACACCAGTAAATACATTCACTCATGCAAGACCCGAAAATTCAAAACACATAATTTAACTTCTATACGCAATAAAAAAATTCTCATTTCCCTTAAAAGGTGGAACAGGGGACCCTGAAACTCGCTGTTGTGTCCGAGAGCCCCTTTTAAATCTGGCGGCTTGCCTACTCGTGTCCTGTAGGGAGCCAAGGCATACACGCTTCGATTATGTGGGACACATCGAGCAACCTTTCCCTGCATGAGGGACACAGAATCCAGAAGTACAAGATGAGAGCGATACGGCTTAAAATTGTAAGTCCGGAGCAAATCTCAAATTTTATTTTCTGCAAAACCTAAAACCCTTCCAATATTTCGGAGAAAGGAATTCAGATTTTCGCGAATAAACAAAACAAAACGAACAACAAAGTAAAATATTCAACTCCTCATCGAAATTACGCTGCCAGTTTCTTTTTGCCATAAGTTTGTCATTTTTTGACCAATTTAAAATCCGATTATAACATGTCTTCAACGTAAAAGAACCTTTAAAATGATGTGTCATGATATTTAGGATTGTATTTAAAATGTTGAAGTTGAACTGGACCTGAGGTACCCTGTATAATTTTTCTCCAAAAAGTCAAAATTTGAAAATAAACTAAAAAATATCAAACACATTTTTTTTTATAGGTCATTGGTTCAATAAAAATTCAGGGTCATCTAAAAAAGACACCCTGTATATATCCAGCAGATTGGATTTCAATTTAGGATTGTGACATTACGTTATAGAGAAAACTACCCATTGGTAGCCGCTCTGGATTAATAAAATTATATTAATCATTTAAGAGGTCTCTTTTGTCAGTCGCTTCCGTGGAAATTGTAATTGTAATTGGTAATTAATGGATAAATAATGTTATTTAGTCAAATACATGAGAAGTAATGGTCTTATATGAAAAATGCAATAAAGGTTTCATTTTATCATTTTCCAAATGAAAAGCTTTCCATTGCCTTTTCCGCTGTCTTCTCATTATCAAATCATCCTGAGACCATATAGTTTAAACCGAGACGGCGTAACGTAAGCAAACATACTTGAGCCTGTGTGTACTTTTATTATATGTTTTTTGTTTTAACCTTTGGGAACATTATGTAATAATCAGGAGATAAACGAGTTTCTACAAATTGGTGTGCTTGGCTTCAGGGAAACTGATCGGAGCTGAGACGTTTGTACGTCGTGGTTGAAATGAAGAAGTTTGTGTCACGAGCGGGATTCGAACCTACGACCTTCGGCTAAATACGCCGCTGCGTAATCATTTCCCCCAATAAAGATTAATTTGTGTAGAACGAAGTTATTTAGTCAATCGGACCACGAAATATAATGGATTTATTATGTTTTTTGTTTTGTTTTTAATTTTAAAAGCGGGATTGACTTAAAACATTATGAGGTAAATTTTACAGAAATTGAACCAGGTTTGACCGTGTGCCACACAGCGAAACGCGGTTGACTTGAGATACTTGAGATTCAAAAGATTTTTCTTATTTTGTGTACATATACATAATTATGATTTAGCTGATGCATTTAAATAACTTTTCTTATGTAATTATTTATTTACATGTTTGGGAACAGGATTGACACAAATCATCCTGATGTAAGGAAGTGCACTGGGTTTGTGTGCCAACAAGCGAAACTGGGCGGACCTCATATGAATGCCAATAGATATTGCGTACATATACATATGTTAGAGCTTGTCAATTCTTTATTATGTACTTTTTATTTAGATTTTTAGACACAGGATTGACACGAATCATTCTGATGTAAGACTGAAATTGCACTGGGTTTGATTGTCTGCCAACACAGCAAAACTGGGCGGACCTCATCAGATACGTGATCGCCAATCACACATATTGATTTAGAGTTTGTAATATGCATAATTTAAATAGTTTTATCTTCATATTCACATCCTCATAATATTTCTCATGTCAAATATAGCGAGTATTGACGGACCAGAAATAACGATTTTAAAACTAAAATACTTACGCCTGACCATGAAAAATTACCATGTAAAAAACTTATATTTATTTCAATTTATAGTACTCCGAAGGTGTTTATATCTGAGTATTATATGATTACATTTTGAGTTTTTTAACGATTTGAACATAAATATATTTGGTCAACAAATCATATATTTAAAAAAATCAAGATTTATTGTTTTTATTGTTTTGTAGAATTTTATTACCATTTTATCGTTCAAGGAATTATGAGACTTTTACTGTAACCATATATTTTTCTTATTTACTACCTCTCACCAATAATGGGATAATTAAATTACATCAACATTTTTATATATAGTACAATAAATATAAAAACTGTTTCACACATCTATGAGAAAAAGTAATTAACTTTTAGTTGTAATTTGTGGTATTTAGTGGTATGGTCTTGAGGGCATTCGTTGGTGAACTTGCAGGTATTACAGAGCTCTTCGAATGCTAGACGCTTATGTTGTAGAGCTATTTTTAGTTTAAAAAACAATTAAAAGTTTATGCACAGCTATACTCACAAAAATAAATACACAGTGCCAAGTCATTTGCAGTTTCTTGAAAATCATAAAAATAAATTACAGCCGGAGACAGAGTGAAAATAAAACTACAGTGTTTTGAGTAATAAAAGGAAGAAAGCCTCTCTAATCGGACTTAACAGGCAGTCTTTTATTTAAAAAAGTTGAATTTTAAACATTCACTGACGTATTTAGACCTTCAGGAATTTCGACGACCTTTAAAAGGTATTCTCACGAATCTCAAGTAGATTCTCACATCGAGTGGCATTCATATTCTCTCTTTATATGTGCAACGGGGTATTTAATATTCCGTCATCGGTTCTCTCACACAACACACTCACTCTTATAAACACACTCTCAATATACTCTTGGCATTAGTAATCGCCACTGTTCAATTAAGTGGAACACATCGAGCAACCTTTCTCTACATACTGGACACATACACATAATGCTCGTTGTCGACCTAGTATGGCCTATTCTTAGTTGGGTGAGTATGATACATCTTCTTCGATGTCTCCGAAGGCCACCTATTGACAAAGTTGTTGATACGCAACAGCTTCTCTTTTAATCTGCTTTCGTTTTAATCATGTCGTTTACTATCATTCTGCCAACTCTCGCCGACCTTAGAACCAACCGTGAAGTTAAGGCCATAAAGAAGAAAATAACAACTTTAAATCAATGTAATGTCCATTGTACATCACCAACAAAAAGATACCATCCATTCAAGTCAAATACTTAGGACTGTACCTAGACAGCAGACTGAAGAGGAATCTCCTCTCCACACAAGGCTTAAGAAACAACAACTTAACAGAAGAGTTGTACTACGAAGAAAGCTACTAATTGTAAGACCGAAACCTGCCTATTCAAAACTAAACTAACCTTTATAAAATTTTACTGCAACCGCTTTGGACATACAGAGTGAAAATATGGGTTTCTACCAAACCATCCAGCATCCAACGCATTCAATCCTCTTATTCAAAAGTCCTCAGACAAACTGTCAAGGCTCCTTACTGCTTCATTAAACTCACTATCCATAACGTCCTCAACATTCCTTTTGATCCATTCCCGATTACAAAAGTTTCACACCAACGAATCGATCCATCCTAACCCTACTGCTCCAGCCCATACATCGACGATGGCCTCTTTCCTCCTTGTTCCTTAATAATCCCTCAGAGTGGCAGCATTGGATGGTATTTGTCCTCCGGTTGCAGCACTGGCCTTAGTGTTAGTGATGTGCCGTGTGATAAACATATTGTGTAATATATGCTGTAAGTATAACCTACAAATAAAATAAAAAATATATCTTTCAATCCTCCTAATCGAAAGTCCTCAGACAAATTTTCAATGCTATTACTGCGCCACTAAACTCACTATCCATAACGACCTCAACATTCCTTTTGCCATCGAATTGGCCCATTGCCGATTCCAAATGTTTCACATCAACGTCTCGATCCATCCCTACTGCTCCAGCCTATACATCGACGATGGCCTCGATCCTCCTTGTTCCTTAATAATCCCTCAGAATGACAGCATTGGCTGGT